TAATATGTATGCGATAAAAAAATCAGAATTTAAAAGTCATGTATTCTCCATTTTCGAATATGTTTTCATATATACACAATTTCATCAAAAATTCAGAAACTTCTTATATAAATATATAAAAATAAAAATTTAGAAGAGCCGCAAATTGGGCACCTGTTACGTTTGTTTCATTTAAAAAAAAATACATAATCGTTACGTAAAATAATTTACGTATAGTTTGTTGTTCATGAAATAGATTATTACTTCATACAAGGTAATTAAATCAAACGATATTATGTTTGTGGGAAAGAAATTTCTATTGTTTTGAAATGGAAAAATTAAAAAAGTAGATAATAAAAAGTGAAAGATAAACGTATATATCTACTAGATTCGTTATTATGAAGATTTTTAAAAAGTTCCTTTTAATTCTTATAACATTGTTTTTCAGTAAGTAACAATTTTAATAATATAACTTATACATAAATAATTACAAATATTTATAATAATAATAAATAATATTTATATGTTATTATAAATAAGATGAAAACTATTTATTATTTATTTATGGATTTATAAGAATATAATATATACAAGTTATTTATATTTATTTTAACTTCATCAATCCTCAAAAGATATATTACAAATATATTAACACATTATAATAAATTAAATGATGAATTCATTCACTAAACAAGAGGAACTTTCACTTTAATGAAAAATACAATATTTTACACAATTAAAGCTTTCATTATGTTGAAGAATTAAGTAATATATTTACAATAAAATTATTATATTTATCACATGATTACGGCTAAACTTTTTATTTACTACAAATATATAATTAACGCTTTCTCTTTATTGATGAATCGAAACATTTACAATTATTATGATTATCGATCACAGTTTCTTTTATTTTTATTTATTTAATATTAATACTACATTTTATTATATCTTTATTTGTTTCCATATATCTTTATTATTTTATTTCATCAATACTTTTTTTTTATTTCTTTTTTATAAAAAAATTATAAAATTTTTATATAAAATGTTAATATATAATATAATATAATATAATATAA